CCCTCCAGGTTTGAAAATGACCCATCCACCACCACTCTCTGGGTGCTGCCCTCCAGCCAGTTAGCGACCCATTTGACTGTGTAGGTGTCGACACCACTCCCCCAGTTTCTTAACGAGAATGGGGTGAGAGACAACGTTGAAGGCCTTCCGAAAGTCCAGGAAGACTATGTCCACTGCTACCCCTACATCTAAGGATTTTGTGACCTGGTTGTAGAAGGCCACCAGGTTGGTCTGACAGGATCTGCCGCTAATGAACCCGTGTTGGTTGCCCCTAAGTATAATCTCCCCTGCTGGCCCCTTGTGGACGTGTGCCAGAATAATTCTCTCAAAAACCTTGCCCAGGATTGAGGTAAGACTAACTGGCCTATAGTTTCCCAGGTCCTCCTTCCTCCCCTTTTTGAAGATGGGAACTACACTGGCCCTCTTCCCATCCTCTGGCACCATGCCAGAGCACCACGAGTGCTCGTAAAGCTGTGCCAGGGGTCCCGCAATGACCTCTGCTAATTCCCTCAGTACTCAAGCGTGGAGATCGTCCGGACCAGCTGATTTGAATACATCCAGTCCCTCCAGAAGTTCCCCAACTAGTTCCTCACTAACCCTTGGCCTAGGTTTTAAAGATGTAATTTACAATTTTGTAGGGCATGGATAGGAAATAAGGGTCAAGATTATTTTAAGATTACATTTAATCTAATACAAATTATTCTCATGGGAGAACCCCCCAGTGAATAAAGTGAAAATGAATTCAATGTAGGTATAGAATACTTGTGACTCATACTTGTGTCCATCTTAAACCACTGTCTCTTGCTTCTGTTGAATTTGGAAGGGTTTCAACTGAATCAATATAGTAGGATCCATTTGCTGCAGACTTTAGATAGTTTTTCAAGATAGCTTGGAAACAAGTTGGTGGCAGCTAATGAGTTGAACCAAGAGGAATGGGTGCCAAAGTGGAAATATTCTGGGCCTGAAAATGCAGTTGACCAGAAGTTCTGTTGCTTGTAACCTAGTGATTGGGCATAGAACAAGTTATCCATTCCAGCAAGTGTTCCTATAATCAAAGGATGATCACCAGGGAGTTCTCATCAACACTTTTCTCACAAAGCGTTCTGTTCCTGTTCCCCACATCCCTCGTCCTTGTCAGAAACTAATGGAATTTCTGTCCCCTGAAGGATTCTTTAGGAATTACATTTTTCCCTTTGCCAATAGTGGGAGAGAATTTTATTATCAATAGTTGTGATTCAGCAGGGAATATAATCATCTTCCAGCATAGTTGCCAGTCAACAGATTTCTATTCTGGGTCAATCCTCTTCCCCCTCCCCACCTTAAAATGCAGTCCATGTGAAACTGCAGTGAAGAAACTTCTTAGCCAATAGGTGCCTAAGGAACAGAAGCTGCTTATCACTCATGAGCTAATGGCCATTGACCCATGTCAGCTGGCATGCAGGAATTTGTGTTGCCACATCATGTACCAATTATTGGACTAGTAATGGTAGCAGATTTCTTGAGCTGCCAAGAAGCTGTGGTGGGCTAAAGTGCTGGTTTTTAAAGTCATATGCAGAAGTATAATGCTCCATTATTAAAACAAAGAATTTTCAACATACGATGCATTCTGTATTGACTTGCATTTCCGCAGTCTGGATCAGGGGTGGGTACACACGCATGCCTTGGTGTGGACAGGGCCAGGGCTGTGCTGTCAAAACAAGTAACAGGCCCCTTGCAGCACCCCCTCTGTCTGACCTGGCGTACTAACCTCTTACAAGTCAAAGTAGCAGATCCACTCTGTCCAAAAATTGCTGACCACTGGTCTAGATGTTTGAAACATGCTGGCCAGTGTTTACCTTTCTTCCTAGTACTCTTCATTTTTTGGGGTTTCCTGCATTAGCAGAAGATTGCATGAAAGAATTCATCTCTTACAATAATTGTCCATGGGACTGTTTTAAAAATCCCCCTACTATTTTTTTCCTCAGGAAATCTACATTTTGGGTGAATATGACCTGCTGTTATGCCTTCAAATACCTTACTGTTATGTATATATTAAAAATGTTGCATGCATTATTGTGTGTGTGTGTGTCTATGCGTGCGCAGGCACACATGATATCTGATACAACATTTAGCAGCTTTTGGTGGGGTTAAAAGATTAAAGCCATTTTAAGTGCTATTACTTAAAGAAACTTGGTAGCTGGTTTTAGCCTGTTACCTGCAGTGTGTTAGCAGATAATGTTACTTTATTATCTAAATGGGCAAATATACCTACTAACATATGGTCTTCTCTTTGCAGAGTGACCTCTGGTCATGTGGCATTACAGCCATTGAAATGGCAGAAGGCGCTCCCCGTAAGTGATATGTATTCTTTTCCAAGCGGCTGATTAAAGTTGAAACTTATACTTAGGAGCTTCTGGTTGTAATCTAAACCCAGCTTTGAGGTTTCTGAAAATGTGCTGATGGTGTTATTGTAGTCTTTGGGGGTTTTTTTCTGTTCTATAAATATAAAATACTATAAACAGCAACATCACTAAAGATACTGCAGTATTTTAAGCATTACTGTGCAGATTGTGATTATAGTAGTGTAATAAAAGTATTAGGAGCATTTGGAAGCTAATTGGTCTATTAACTTCCTAAAGTGGGTATATTAGGCTTTGGAGCTATGTCCCTAAGGTGTAGTGAATACCCTTGCATGAGATGTAAACTTAGAGCAGAGAAAAAAAGGTTGAAAAACGTACTATCCTGCTTTGTCAGGACTTTTACACTACTTATCATGTCTTTTCCATCTTTAATATCCATAAGTCATTGTAGTGGTAAGATTCTTCTTGAACAGTGTGCCTTGGATTTGCAGAAGAGGGGCAGGGTAGAAATTCTTATCTTTCCTTTCTTACTACTTGCACAATGCCAAAGATTCTTGGAGGAATGTGATTTAGATGATAAGCATACATTCAGAACTGTTCGTGAAGAACTTTTTTAATGTAGACCATTTGAATATATTCAGAAAAAGAATTTAAAAGGCCTCAAATTCATAACTTTTTTTCATGCTGTATTTTTTTCACATACTGGGGAATACTTATATGAAGCTGAACCAGAGGACCGGAACTGCATGAAAAATGGAGTTTACAAACTTTTGTTTTCACTTGACTATACTCCTAGCAAGTGGATAAATTAATATTCTACCCTGCCATCCCAGTCAGTCTTTTAGTATGAAAACTGGAATGTTCCATTTAAACTTGAGTGTGTCAGGCTACTATTTATGTATGTAATAATGAAACATCTGATTAACAGCTGTCATAGAAATGATCAGATGGAGAGTATTGACATCCTTTGTAGTTATGAAATGCCATCTTCTTCGTCTGTGACTTAAAAATAAAAACTGTTAAAATTGTCATATGGAATTCAGTTGCCTTGTTCAAATTCATATTTTTGATATTCTTTCCCCCTTGGGATTGCACATTTGCACACATGCTTACGTTCTGGCTGCATCAGCTGTTCTTTGACCATTTGCTTTGCCTGCAGCTTTATTTTTTTATTGTCTCTCTAACAACTTTTCTGTTGAGAACACGTGGATTTGTTTTTATTTATTTATTTGCTCAGATTAAAGCTCTTATTGGCTCTGCATGCCTTCAAGGCATTTTTACCTGATGGGTATTGGCAATGCATTTTTTTTAATGCTACAATAATAGTCCCTAGTTGGTCCCTCTCTTAAGATCGGTAGCCAAGGCCTTTGGGTAAGGGGTAAGGGAATCATTTGCACTGAACCCCCAGTATCTTTCATAGCTGATCATTCCTTCAACATTAGTATTTGCTCCCTTGGCAGAGAACTCTTATCCATACTTGCTGGTCCACAGGCATCCATGCAGAATTGTGGTTGTCTGCCCAGGAGTCCTGACTCTGCTTCACCTCCCAGCTTCCCTCTTTGTGCACTCATTGACCATGCAGTTCCATTGGAGATGAGCTATCAGGAAAAAAATCTTTTTCACAAGTGAAAAGGCAGAGGAGGTGCATATAGTGGTACAGACCAAAGCTTCTGCTCCCAGCCTGTTCTTCCTTCCCTTTATGGACTGTGACACCACAAAGTACCTTGAGTTTGAAGAAGAGGTGGATTTCTGCAGAAATAGGTATCTGTCCCTTCCATAGGCCAACGGGAGATATCAGGTGACTGATGCAGACTTTTTTTTTTGGCTTTAAAATGCAGAGTTAGCAGTGGAGCTGTTACATTTTGATTTAAGTTTGTTTAAGGTTGTTCTTGTCTTTGCTCATCATAGATGTGCAATTGGGGATAGAGAACATCTATGGAAATTGAGCAGTCATGATACAGAACCATGCAAAATGGAAAAAAAAGCTGAGCAAATATATTTATATATAAACTCTTTTTCCCCAGCCCTCTGTGACATGCATCCAATGAGGGCGCTGTTTCTTATTCCAAGAAATCCTCCTCCACGGCTAAAATCCAAGAAATGGTACGTAGTAGTTACCTATTTCATGCAATCTGTTTTATAGTTTCCTTTTCAACATAACAACAAGTATGCCATGAAATAAAGGAAGTACTAATTTACTGTTATAAGGAAGTAGTAACAGTTTAAGTTGGCTAAATCACTCTTTTCTTATCTTCTTATGGCATTAAATCAAAGGACAATAAGATGATATACATTAATTATTTTTTAGTTTTATTTTATTTTAGGGAAATGTTTTTTGAATCATGAGACAATAATAAAAATAAGCTGCTTTGGTAACAGAGCATCATATTAGGGCGACAAATTATACCACAACTCAGTCTAGTCTTTTGTTGCATTCCTAATTTGCAGTATATTTTCTGAGATGCAAGATGATAAAGAAACAAGACAGTACCATAGCTGCCTTGATGCTACATTGAAAGGAGCTATTAAAATTAATGAAGGCCTTCACAATAATTATTGTAAATGTTTGAGACTGCGCATGTGCTTGCCAGCTGAGAAGAGTCCATGAACATTGCAGGATTCTCTCCCCACCCACTACCCCTTTGTCATTATTACATACAACTGACATGTATGAAACAATATTGTTTACTAGAAAGAGGTTTTTTATAGATTGAATGTGGTGCAAGAGTACATATAAGCATTAAAAAATATGCTTCATGAATTCTGTGAGTGTGAGGCTGAATGCAGAAGTTCTGTCATAGAGAAATTACAGGTACTCCTCACTTAACATCATCCTGGTTAACGTTGTTTCATTATTACGCCGCTGATCTATTAGAGAACATACTCATTTAAAGTTGCACAATGTTCAGTTATAATGTTGCTTGCCCACCACCTGGTAGTAGATAACTATTGTGACGTAATTGGATTTGCTTAACATCATTTCACTTGAAGTCGCATTTTTCAAGAACGTAACTATGACGTTAAGCAAGGAGCAGCTGTATAATGTGATGTGACCATTTATACTAATGTATAAATAACCTTTTTGTTATTGTTGTCTTGATCCTTGTCGTCTTGGTAGAACAGTGCTGTTCTATATACGTGTATATATTTGTGCACATATATGCACAGATCCTGTAGGTATTAAAGACAGGAAATCAGATTAAGTGTTTGCACACCTCTTGCTTATGCTTTTCTTTGTAGAAACCTTACTATCTTTAAAAAGTACAAAAAAACCCCCTTCAGGAAGTCCATTTTAAATAAGCTTTGTAAAAGGTAGAGTATGAATATTTACCTATAAGATTTTTTTGAGAGATAAGAAACATTGTTTGTTTTAATTTGTCCATTCATTATAGTGTTTAAAATCCAAGCACAACAGCATTTTGCAAATGCCCAAGAATTAAAAAGTGAAGTTGACTAAAAATGCTGCTGATTTTAACCTGTTTTCATTGATCATGATGGATTCCAGAGAAGAAGAAAACTGTATAAATGCTAAAAAGTGCAGTTTTAAAAAATATTTTTCACTCATTGCTCTAAGGATTTTTATAGAAGTAGAGGTAAAACAGGATTTATTAAAATGATGCTTATCCTGACAATTTCTCTTTAATACAGTAGGCTGTCAGGACTAATCGTAACTTTAACAAGATGCACTTTGATTTGCCGAACATGACTACTGTCTTAAGCAGACCAGGATGAGCCAGAACACTTTAGAGAAGTTTTGTAGAGTTACGCTGGGGGTGAATTTGATTCCTTGGGCCTGAAATGAATGAATTGTGTGACATTGTCAACTGTTGAAAATGTTAAGTATGTTTGTTATGGCCATTCAGGTTAAAAAAAGATTAATTTTTTAAATTCCTACAAAGATTCCTCACTAAGGCAGGTGTGCATAAAGGCAGTTTGGTGTTACTTGTGGATGGGATGTTGGCATTGGCGATATTCCCGCATCTTTTCTGAACGTCTGTAAGTAGGGACCTAGCAAATTTGGGGCACTGGCTCTCTGATTTCGCACTCTGAGCATGGTGTCCAGCACCATTTTCAAATGGCCATCTCTCGGTCTCTGGGGAGGGGCAGGACTTCCAGGGATCCTCAGCCAATCGATCAGAGGTGTTACAGGGCTCTGCCACAATGCTGCCACCGCCCCCCCCTTGTGTTTCAGGATGCCAGGGCTTCCCACCCTTTCCTGGTTTTGCAGCCCCCCTCCCCCCCCCCCCCCCCCCCCACTTTCCTCGTTTTCCCCCCCTGCCGTGCCACCACCAAA